TTATCGCGCGGATTTCCATCTTTCTGTTTGTGCTGTTGAAGCGTTTGACCTGGTAAGTTACTTCAGGTAGTATCTCAACAGAAGGTGTTGGGTGGCGGGACATGTGCTATGACATCACTCACCACTCCGAACGCTAAAGACTCGCATGATCGAGGCTTTGATCATAGTCAGTTAGTAAATCCAAGTTGAGCTTTAGCAACAGTCGTATTGTAATAGTAATTTTCAGACTCTAAAAAGAAGCGTTCATTACTATCGTTTAATAGAAGAAGAACCAGCGAAGTACGAGTGGATCCCGACGGAAGGCTGGTTACTAACGGGTGAGTGATAAACAAGAATTGATTTAAAAAGAGCTTGAGCAATCTATCGTTTGTGCTTTCTTGTTTCCTCTTTGGCAATCGAAATTATGGCCCATTCGTAAACATAAGCCGTGAGGATTCATATTATTGATTAGAAGAAGAATAATTCCATTGCATCATTGCTGACGAAACTGACTGTATCACGGTTGAGTCGTCAACCACATGCGACCATAATCAGCTGTTCTAAACTTCCTCATTGGAAGTCACGAAAAAGCGGCTCTGAAGAAGGCGATTCTGCCGAAACGTCAGCTACGGTTGTGTTGTGTGTGTGTTATTGAATGGAAGTAAACGTATGCTGTCTAACGACCTCGCGATTGCTGAGAGAGAAAACGACGAATTTATAATCCAATACCGAGGTTAATAGAAAGTCTGTCCTGGGAACAAAATGATTTTGTCAAAGCCGTCATAACCATTCGACTGTCTTCTGCTTCAGATGCCACTCAGTTGCTCAGGAGAGCAGCATTATCAATGGTGTACGCAGTTCAGGTATCATCTCTTAAATGAAGATTACGAAGTGGTTTGCTGTGTACACACAGTTGAGTCCTATTTAAATGTTCTCAAACAAGAATTTGCCACGGATTTTCGCCTATCATGTCTAAACGCACTCGTCAAATATGTCCTCCAACAATGAGCAATGATGTCGTGCCTCAACATGATCCATGAGCTCCAGTGTTTAGACTAACAAACTGAAGTCCTGTCGGTTTCTCACCAATCGTACGTTATTACACTTGCCTTTTTTAGTGTGATATCTCTCAGTGGCGAGCTCTCCCCTCAACACTATCAAATTCAAGAAAATCCACTGGTTGAATGAGAAGAGCTATCGATTCAACTGGCTGCACGGTTAACAGAATCATAGTGTATGTAACAAGTCGAAGCTTTTCCACTGATGGTTTACTCGATGAGCCGAAGTAGTCCGTCCTGAAAAACAAATAACTGATCGAAGTGATTTTAAAAAATTATGAGTAGAATTTCTTTGTAGAATTTTTGATTTTTTCAAACGTTTTTGATCTAAACGTAATTTAACGACGATCTAGAAAAGCAGTTAGAATGAAAGATTATCCTTTGTTTTTAGGTCGAAATTGTCTGGTTTGCTGCGTTAAGAGTTCGGAGCATGTGTTCAGAATCCGCGTTCGCCCTCACAGAAGCTGCAACCCACAACCTCTGTTGTTGCTTTGAAAAGTAGCTTTCTCCTTCAGAAATAAAGGAAAGTGTTCTTCTAATTCTCACCATTTACATAAGGTCGTATTTCATTTTTGCAATTTTTCTTGTCATTAGGTCTTTTGCTGATGCGCTTTAGGTTAGGGATAGAGTATAAATTAAAAGTGCGAATCGCCACATTAAAGTTGCTGGATGCCATGAACTGTTTTGAGCCCAAGATTTAAGCGAGTATAGTAGATTTTCAAGATTGCCGTATATGGGTTTTTGCATCGAAGAAAAAGATTTTTTATTGCTAGCTATATCGAGATGGACCAACTCGCCAAGTACTATCACCAACGCTGAAATGAAGTCACCAGAAGCTCTTCTTTTGGAAAGACAAAGAAGTGTTTAATTAAAGGTGTTCAATAGTGCCTTTTTTGCATTCGTTATGATGCAAAGTCTGCTTAGTTTTTGTTAGGTTTCTAGACCTTCCTCTCTCATCCGGAAGCACACGATGGTAAGGGGTGGAAGGAACTAATTGAACAGTTTCTTTCCAATCTTTTTTTTTGCCTCAGCAGTATTTGTTGGTACTCAGAAAATTTGACGACTACTATGCTCATATTCAATGCACCTCACGTAAAATTAGGCAGCCTACTCTAAAGCATACTAGTACAAGACGCAAGAAACGGTATGAAAAGTTTATCATTTTCCTTTCTGTTTAGCACAAAAGCTCTTGTAAATGTTATTTAAAAAGTCTACTAACAGTAACTTCGGTAAGGTTTAATTTTTCAAGCATCCAGTACTCATCTCGTCACCGGTAGGATCATCTGAGTCAATAGTTTGTCCCATATCGTCACCCGAACTACAATCATGCAACCTTTTTTTAAGAATACAACAAATGAAAGAATTATTCCTCATGAGCCAAAGATAGAGGTAGCCGGTAAGAAATACAAAACTATGTGAGCGCCTATTTCTACACCTATTGAGATTTGTTTTTATATTCATGACCCGTTATTTCCTAAAAGGAAGCCTTCAGTAATGCCCTTCAAGGGCTCTGCGCGAGGCAGTGAGCTGCGCCCTCATTTAACTGGTGCGAACGTGTTAACAGGATGAACGCGTGTTCGCCAACGTGGTAAGACATGTTCTTGGACTGCCACGTGACTATCGATAGTATATAAACTGCGTTGTGGTCGCAAACGCTCATTCTATCTTAAGGCTCACCGGCAAACGTCTTCAGGTGATAGGTGGCCCTAACTTCTTCACCTATTCAGCTTCACATGCACCGTTTTTTTCTAGGTACATTCGCTGTATCTAACACTCTCGCTTGTATCTCTCACTGCTCGTCTATTCGAAATAATGGTAAGCATATTTAGTGAATCATATGGTCCACCTAGAATATTTTTGAAAAAGAATTCTGCATTATCTTTCTGATCTTTTGATCATGAATTCACGTACAGGTACCAACTAAAGGATCTGATCAAGGAGAACAAGTGTTGGCTAGTGAATCAGCCCGCTTCAATGCAGCCGAACCACACAGAAGAGAGGTATGGGACTACTAAAGTTCTCTTGCTGGTACATAACATAGAATTGATAATTGGTAATATAACTATGACCAAAACTGCATGCATTAATAAACAACGACGATAAAACCCTTATATATTTACTGAGTATATAATCATGTCGATTACAGAGTCTTTCGAGCGAAGAAGTTGTGAAGAAAATTTGCTTCTTAAGTGGATGTGACATAGGTTCGCTGCCGATTTCGGGCGATGCCACCGTGCCTGACCAGGAATATCTTGATCAGTTGATTCGCGACAAGGGAGACCTTCGTTCTGCGCACGCAGCTCCTTTCCGCCACTTAACAAGACTTGTTGACAAAGGTAAATCCCATACATCTTAAATAGACGGCTGTTTGTTTGAAACACAGGTAGCCGCACATAGAGGCTACTGTTCTACCAGGTCAAAAAGCTTGGATACTTGGATGGCCCTTCTTCACTGGTTGTTCGAACCCCGGCACAATTTCCATTTCGGAGTTTTGCTGGTCTAGCCATTGTGATTCCCTGGAGTCCTGATGTCAGCCTAGGCAAAGTCTGTCCCAGGTCGTCACTACAACAGGCAGTCGTTGCCTTTGTGAATCAGATGGGGATTTGCCACCATGGGACTGGTTTCATACCAGGATGGTGGTGGACCCAGGTACTGGTTTACTCTGGTTTACTCTTTGCTAGGCTTCCTGGCCGGACTCTTTCTCAGCTTGGGAGATCCTGCCAGGAGGTGAATCTCGCTATACGTCACAGTCCGACACTTTCGGAGTTGATCTGATCTATCCCTGAGGGAAGCGCCATGCTTTCCTCATTAATCATCGTTCGGTGGTGATTGAATGCATATCTGGCCTCTACAATTACTAGCGGTGACATACCGATGTATCGAGCCAGTTCTGCTATCCTCCCAGACAAGTTTAGTGCCAATCTGCCGACTTCGTAGTGATGGAAGGGTTCGCAGGCCATGGGCATGGGGATCGATTCCACATGTGTGTTGCAGCGCGCTTCCGACCACTGTACCACACGCGCCCTCGTGTAGGTGAATGTGCTTCCATTCTGTAGCATCTACCCTACACAGTCTTTGTGTGACTATGAAGAAGCTGAACACTGTTGTTCTAACTTAATGCAGATATTACAGTTTAGTGGAATATTGTGGAGTTTTTCAGAAATTGCTCGCGTAGTGGCGGCGATCTCAGCACAAGCTCACCTAGATGACGTAAACAACGAAGAAGATTGTGGTGAAAAAGTCGTCTTAACTGAGATGATTTTAGTGCCTATTGATCGCTACCCAAAGGTATGTATGTTATAAGGAGTTGAACAAACTGTGTCAAATGAAGAGCATCCAATTTTCTCACTTAACACAATTATGAGGGCACGTGTAACGCTGTGGTTAGAGGTCAAGCGCAATACACGTGGGTTCAATTCAGTGTCTCAGACTCACCAAGGTTTCCATACCTCTAGGCTTGGTGGTGCATTGGTAGCAGACCTGTTTGGGAGGATAGCCGCACTAACTCTGTACATCAACAGGTCACCTCGAGTCACTGTTTAGGACAGATATGCATTCAACGATCTCTGCGGATGCTTGATGTCGAATGCATAGCGTATTCCTCAGGGATATATCAACGCCGAAGGCTCTATCCTTTTCAGCTTTTTAAAACAAAACGGAAAAGTGACGTGATCGAAATGTACTTGTAGAGTCATAAATGCTGATGTGTAGGTCACCAATAGCTTTAAAATCACAATAATATTCAAGACGGTAACATCCCAGCATCTCACCTGCTTCTTCAAATTATAGAAACTGAAGACTTAGTCTGATCACATCGTAAGAAATTCAACCATAAACAGCTATCTGGAAAAGGTTTCGTTGTCGTTGTATCCTAAGCCTCGAAAACGAGGTAATAAGAGATGAGGTGAGGGATAAGTAATGAGGGAAGTAGCGTCGGATGCGAGTGTGATAAGCTAGAGGTAATATGCAGAAACACAAATGTTTCTCTTTTTATGACGCAACATCAAATACGTCATATTGCGCAGATTCCAGTATTTTCTTGCATTTCATTCGTTTCCTCGCATTCATCCATGCAGACTTGCGTATGTGTCCGTCTACTGCTTAAAAATTTTCTCGTCTTCATCATGAATGTTGTTATGTGCTGATCGAGACAATTCTTCCTGGGGTCCTAGGATAGCCGTGATAGAGCGTTCCAACTTAGATTGTAGATAATAAGCCGTTTGCAGGCAAGTCCTATAACAATTTTTTGACCTCAGAGAAAGTGGAGACTTAGTGGCGCTGCGGTGTTGAACTAGTTGCTAAGGTAGTTGACCCTATCTAGTAATGAAGAACATTACTGCCGTTGCACTGCTCAGTAGTCATTGAGAAACATGAGATGTGACTGGACTTATTTAATAGTCCTGGGCAGCAGCACATAACAGCATTCATCAATTGACTTTATAATCCGTCCGTCGTAACTGTTCATACGGTGCGCCACAGGGGTGGCTGTGTGATGTTGCAATGAGATTTTTTCTCATCTTCAACTCACAATATGGCTACCGCTTTCCCAAGCCCATACTGCTTCTCTTCTCCCAGAGAAGTCTGATCTCGATTTCCCAGCCCCGGAGGATGGATGGGTTTGTAAATCTGGGGCAAAGGATGGAACGGCCAGACGATGTAGTGTGTATTGCAGGGCATCTCGAACCTCTGCGCTATACACATCCTAGTTGATTAAGGTTATGATATTTGTTCCTTTAGTACAACTTTGTTGGGCGTATTCTTGGTCCACGTGGCATGACCGCAAAACAGCTGGAAGAGGACACTGGATGTAAGATCATGGTTCGCGGACGCGGATCCAGCCGTACGGTGTGCTTTTTGGCGTCCTTTTTTAATTAATGGCTGGTGGAATGAATAGCTTTGTACTGTTTAGAACGGCTCAAGACGCGACCGCAGTAGCGACACCGAACCACTTCATGTTCTCATCCAATGCGAGGACTATGAGAAAAGAGCTCACCAAAAAATGAGAAATGCTGTGGAGGCTGTTAATCAGCTTCTTCACCCTCCTGTTAGTTTGACGCAGTTTAATTATTGTAATAGCCATGAAGTTCGCAACTGTGCGTGCTAAAAGCCATGAAGTTTTGGTGCTTCGAAAACGCAGTAATTTTATGCATGTGCTATCAAGGTTGTATCAGAGCACATTGCAAGAAAATTTCGCCTCCTATAACAATAAACCGGCTACAGATATGTTTCATTTTTCTTTCAGCCAGAAGGGAAGGATGAGCTTAAGCGTAAGCAGTTAATCGAACTCTCTATCATTAACGGCACCTACCGCCCAACTTCGGCCACCAAGGTCGCGTTACGTGAGTTGTTCTTTTAAAACGGCTCCTTCAAAGCTATTCGATTATCCACAAACCTTACGATTACAGAGGCACCGCGTCCTTTATCAGCACCTAATCTGCCACCAGTGGCAGATAACTCGCCCTATAACGAACAGGCTCGCATGTTTTCTCAGTTTGCTGAAGCTGCCAGATTCAGGAAGAAGAAGTGGGTGTCTAATACAGCTTTATAAACTATTATTATAATAAATTTATCAACAAATCCTGTAGAAATCACCAAATGTTCGAATAACTATTTCTTTGTAGTACTGGCTTCGTTTTCTTCATATGACTTAATGCGCAAAGAAATTACAACATCGTAGAAGGCAAAAAAAAATATAATACAATGCCAACTTTTTATCTACTGCTTTTTATGATTTCTCATGGCCAATGATGCCGGGGTATTTGCAAAACTCCGGACCGCCGGTGAATAACGAACGCGCTATTACCCTTTCCGTAGCTAATGCGTTCACCACCACACCGTGCGGGTCCTTCGCTTTGCCGGTCTCTCAGCTAGTTTCCTATCGATGAAGACAAGATATTTGCATACATGCTGTGTAGAACTCAACATCGTACGTCGGCAAAGAATCACATTACGAACAGTTTTTCGCTTATATTTAGAAACATTACCGGCTATCCTACACTTTCAGCGACATAGAGGAACAACATGCAACATTTGCACAGATGTTTGGCAATTCTAATTCAATGAACGTCAATAACGCGAACTTCAACTGTTATGATTACTACAAGAATCTCATTACGTAAGATTTCCTTTCGTGGTCTAGCACTTGCTTCATTAACTTATGTGAAAAAAAGCAATGCCACAGCTTACAAATGTGCTAATTGCAATCCATTTGTGCATTAGATGGCTCAGCAGAGAATGCTCGCTGAGTCGGTCAGTGCAGCGATTGTACCGAACTCGGAGGAATGAAGGGCTGATTGACACTTCACGAGTTCGACTCACCGGCATTGCGTGCACTGCGCGGCGTCTCTAACTGCCGCGCTTACAAGTTCACAGTGTTCTAGTTAATTATGAATGAGTCACAAAAATAGATATGTAGTCATGTAGACGTTTTCTGAGTTCGCTACCATTAGTTTACATGAAATTCATTTAGATATGCGCTTGCTGATCCTAACTTCTTCTCATCACTGACACAGTCTGTCGACGCCTATGGAATGGGAAATCGCATGGCGATGCAGCATGCGGCACAACATCACCAGCAGGCGGTTCGACAACCTGGGACGACCGGACAGATTCCCCAGGCGAATCTCCATCAGTATCTTACAGCAGCTGCCATGCTTAACTCCGCCCCTTTTTCGAACGATGGCTCTGGCGACGGTCCGAGGAGCAAGATGCGCGGCACTATTTAGGAGGAATCGTTTTTTGTTTTTTAATTTTTATTCAACCTTACTTACTTGCTCGTTGTTAGCAGGTGAGGTTCGAGCCAAGTTACCTCGTACGATATTGGCTCGAACTTTCATTTTTATGTTCGTTTTCCGATTTCAGCTTCCTCGTCGTCTACGCAGCTGCGAGTCCTTGTTTAAGCTACCTGTTATTTCTATCGTAATAAAAGTATTTGTTTTATTGTTGCTTTTTTCCTTCATGCATTAACTTTTCTTGCGAAACTAGAAGGCCACTAATACGAGGGTCAATCTAAAATCAAAAGTCGATATTACAAGTCAGCACGAATATACCGTTCCCCATCTGAACCGATTATGCCGTCGAGATGTAACTTCTTCCCATTTTACCCTTAACTTCACCTGAAAAGAAAGAACTGTAGATTATGCCTACGTGGTGTTGATTTGGAGGAACAAAAACTGGCTCGCCACAATTGGTAAGCTCAGCACAATGGAGAAAAAATAGTTTCCCATTAAGAGCTCATAGGAGTGGACGCAATTCCACCTAGCTCTTGCGTCTTCAAACATCACATAGAAATACCTGAAAAGAGTGTGTGCTAAAGGTTCAGACCATGAAGTCAAAAATTCATAGGGTGCCTGTTAAAATCTATGAAACGTCGTCATCCAGATGAAAAGCATTTGCCTTCCCATTCTTCTCTAAAGGAGGTGACTCTGAATGCTGATGACCTGAATAGAACTCTTTCTTACCTATTCAGTCTTGGTGAGAGTTATTTCACTCAGGAAAGCTTAGCTGCATCGACTTTAGATTAAATTTAGCAGCAATTTGACTACTGATTTCTAAAGGCAGACTTCTGAAATATTTCAACATTGCAAGAGTGAAGTGCTCAATCTCTTGCTGTTTTCATTAATAGTAATGAACACTCTAACCACTAACAGCCATAACGCAACCTTTGTGTGAATTTGTTTCAATAAGAGATGCGCCGGGAATTTGGACTTAACTGGTTATGAACATCCTCCGATACGAAAGGACGAAAAGACTCTCAGCACCAATAAATAATAAAGACACCTCGTGTGATAACATTTCTCTTAGGCAAAATAGGAAAGGATAGAAACTAGCCGAAGAGTAAATTTAAAAGTGTTTATTGAGTCTTACATTTACAACTATATTAAATTATTCGTGAAACACTACTAGCGGATAGCTATGTTTTTTCCACTTTATTTTACATGACCTGTCACTACATATATTGTGGAGATCCTAGCATTTCTTGCATCTATTTCATGTCTTCACAGCTGCCGTCCATCTTCGAATGTGTCACGAGTGGGTTGGGAAGCTGCTTGAGGATTTTGTTTCCTTTTTGAATGTAGAATGTTGGTCGACTCGATTCTCGACTGCATTCTTACGATAGCCGAGCCGAGGCGTTGGAGAGAGTGAATTGGACGGGAGCAAGACTAGTACCGATATCCCGCTGCCAGGGTGATGAGAAGCTTGGTGGCCTGTGCGTGGGGTCGAACGAGCACCGCACTCGTGATAAACGGCATCACTAACCCTGCGCTACTCGCCTCGCTTAGTGATAAATCATTTTTTTAATTACTAGACGAAGTCGTGAAGCATGACTACTAGTTGGGAACGCTGTCGAGAATCTTCCGTGACTATTATAGCAGCTCCAATGGAGCGATAAGCCCAGAGCCCAAAAATTTCGATGAGGTCTGTCTTCTATTGCAGTTAGTTTGATCGACTATATGCTTTTTTTAATCCAAAAAGATGACGTTTTGCTTTAACTGTTCCGAAAACTCATATGGAATATTTCGAAAGCTTTGTGCTAGCTGATAACAACACCGACTTCTGCACGATGTGCGCAATGATGTATGTCTGGAAGAAAAACAAGTTGTTATCACCGGACATTATCATTATATCGACCATCAGCATCGTGTATAAAAGGGCATCACTGAGTAAGGGTGCCTCATTCGAGGAGATGGCTCACTGAAGAAGACCTAACTCGACACGAAGGCGAAGCTGCCACGTCGAGGCGAATAACAAGCGAGGACCCTCGACTCGGATCACCGGCTCTGAGGAAGACGAAGACGTCGAAACGTTAGCCGAAAATAAACATCATTATCAACCTCGTGTAAGCTCATCAAAGAAAGAATTCATACGGAATAGTCTTGTAAAAGCGTTTGCTCAACAAAAATACGAACAAAACTTTTCTTTGTTTATTCAACACTGCCACTGTAAACATAATGCCTGAGATGCTTGCAAAACTCAGTACCGCAGGTGCCTACGGTGGCGATCGAACACGATATTACCCTATCCGGCGACTAACGCGTTCACCACCACACCATGCGTCCTTCGTTTTGCCTTTCGGCTAATTTTCCATCTGTCTAAATATATCAGATTCATTGTGTATTTCACAAAACACCCTGCCGTAAAAAATTGTAATGAGCCGCAAATAAAAGGGTAACATTGTGATTTCAACTATAGTCAGTTCAGCTTAACTGTGTTAAATGCCGATTCGTGCTCCCCAGTTTACTCCTGTTGACAGGTGATAGCATTTGTAAATAGGGAACCAGCTGAGCCAGGCCAGAGCGCGTTAGTCCCCAAAAGGATAATATAGTGGTCGATCCCGCCGCAGACACCTGCGGCCCAGAGCTTTGCAAATGTCTCAGCATCATTATGGTTGTATTTAGCATGATACCCTGCTGTGAAAAATTGTAATAGGCAGCAAATAGAAAGTTAACCCTCCTATTATATTTACGCCCAATTTGGCAAATAATAGACTAGTATACTTCTTCCATGTTTCTAGAAGACATTTTTCAACTGAGGCTCAGGAAGAAATAGATATTGCCTGTGATAAATTGTTGTCAATTTCCTCGTAAAGAAATGTCATTATCTTTGCCAAAATTTCTGAGACAGAAAGCGACTTGAAAAGTACTGTGGGTCTTATCTTGTACGGCAATAAAGGCATTCTGCAGGAGATGACGAGCTGACATAGGAAGAGTGGCGTTCACAGCTGAAATGAAAGATTGCACTACTTCTTCAGAAGTCTTTAGGCTTTTCAGTGTTGCGTAAGATTCCTGATCTTAATTATTTGTTGATTATCGCTGATGAGAGGGCGCTGGTAGCCTAGTGGTTAGATATGACCTGGAACACACGTGATTTTGGTTTGAACTCGCGCCTCGTGCTCTCCTAGCTTTCCTTGCCACCGGAGTCGGTGAATTGGTACCAGACTTGAGTGGAACGGTAGCACCACGGACTCGATGTGTAGGATAGTCCACCGTAAGTCACTGTTCGCCAAATATGCCCTTCAGAGATTGATTAACGCCGAGAGCTTCATCCCTTCTCATATGCTACTATGATCCGTCATATAAATATAATGCTGTCAGCAATTGTAAGTATTTTGCAGCCTACGAGCCATATGGTATCTATTCATGTATTTCCTATATCTGTCCAATTAAAACGATAGCCGTGACTCATTATCGCGATTAAAATTGAAAGAATATTCAATTCTCAGTCAAACTACCGGTCGAGGGAAGCGTTCGAGGTTCTAATCTAAATGCAGAAGAGCTCTTCTCGACCGACACTTGCCACGAAGTATATGCTGAACGAGCTATCGAATGATCACAAAAAAACGCTGGAAAAACACTCTAGCGCCAAAATAAACGGGTGACTTAGAAACGAGTCATATATGACTCACCGCAGCCCCGGCCGGCTTGACCATACACGAATGAATCATATGATTCATCTCGTCGCCAAGGTGCCAGACGTGACCCATTTCATTGTGGGTGCGATCGGAAATGAAATGCAAATCACAGGACTCTATTCATTTCGATCGACGGAGTAAGGTGTTCAGCAAAACTGTGTCACCCAAGGTGATAAGTCATCTCACCGCCGGAAATATGTCAGTGTCCAGAGAAGAGTGGAGAAACGGGAGCGGATTGTGCAGAGACGCAGGGCGGGTGGACGGCGTGCTCCATCGATCCGTTCGCGAGCACTGCTGTTCGTCGATGATCTATCGATCTGTCTGCTAATTGGCAGTCCATGAGCTTGTGGATGGTATCCCTGAGTTTAGTACTGACAGGTACTACTCTACTAAGTGTTCGTACTGTGATGGTTAATACGCCTAGAGTTCTTTCACTCCATCTTTTTCGCTCCCTGAGCTTCCCTCATAACTTATTACTAGTACTGTTACCGTTACGGTAGGACTTTTCTATAGCTTTTCGCTGCCGTTCGAATTCGTTTCTTTTCCAGGCTTTTCATTTTAACTTATTTATATAACTACAAAGAAGCACGCATTTGATTTCCTACTTCATTTTGTCGACTTCGACCTTTCTAGAACGTTCCTTGCTTCTTCCCTTGTTCTGTTCCCGTTCCATGCTTTTGTCTTCGTTCATTTAGAACTTGAACATATAAGTACTCTATATATATTTACTATGTATACGTGTAGGTATCGGACCTGTTGTGGCCAGTCGCTCTGGCTCAGGATTGGCACGATGGCTGATCTTCTCAACAAGCATATCAAAAAAGCGACCTCAAGAACAAAAGAGAAGGTGGGTTCTTGAATGGAATGTGCTACTGTGTAGTGTTTTTTTACTGTCAACGGTGTGATTTAAGTGTGGACTCAAGGCCATACCTACCACTCATCAGTTTTTCTATGGCACTTAGTATGTGAGACATTAACAATTCATTCGGTGTTTTTGAGTGGGCCAATGGAATTTCTTACTAGAATTTTGAGTTCATCTTCGTGAATGTGAAAAGCGAAGTCGTTTTGAAGGGTTTCTTCAGTAGTGACCAGTTTTTGCTTTTCATTGGAGGTGAGATACTTATCACATTCCATTCACTTACTGGAATCCAAGCGAAAGAATGTCATGCTAGCAGAAAGTTATTGGGAAGCATTCCGAGTCTGTCTGGTACACATGCTGGCAATAATTCTAAGATCACTGTTCCTCGAAGTATTGTTTGTTTGTTTCTTGTTCAATTGAGAACCAGCGCTATCCTTATCCAGTTTCGAAAATCGCTAACTAGGGAACGGCTTAGAGCGTTTATACGAAGACATTCATCTCCACTTGGAATGGTGTTCGAGAAATTTTTGGGAATAGGCTCTTTCTTAATGATACATTTACTGCAATTTTCTAACTCAGCAGTAAGACTATAAAGCCAGAGTGTACCATATAGCGGTGATGTTGTTTTTCTATATAAGTTCTCTTCGCAAACGATTTACACTTGTTTACTTTTACTTATATGTGCAGTCAGCTCCTAACCAATAGTCATTGTTAAAGGATAAAAATAAAGGATATCTCGGAGTTGATCTATCTCTCAGGGATGCGCCATACATTCGACTTCATTAAGCATCGTTTGGAGGTGATTGAATGCATATCTGGCCTTTACAATGACTAGCGGTTGCCTACCGATGTATCGAGCCAGTGTTGCTATCCTCCCAGACAAGTCTGGTACCAATTTGCCAACTCTGGATGGATGGAAAGCTTGGTGGGCTAGGGCCGCGGAAATCGATCCCATGTGCATTGCAGGGCGCCTCCGGCCACTGCGCCACACGCGCCCATATAGTCATTGTTATGTGAAAAATGTAGTTTCGCTAGTACATGCATAGTAGGATCAGAAACTGTTTTTGATGTTAACCACAATGATGCTGAGATATTATCGAAGATTTTGAAATTGTAGTTGGTGTCATAGTTAAGATCGATATGCTGATTTGGGCTCTCCAGATTAATCCCGTTGACGGGTGATTCCTGATGGTCTGATCGCTAGAACTAGCTAAGAGACAGGCGAAACGAAAGGCCCGCATGGTGTGGTGGTGAACGCGTTAGCCCTCGGAAAGGGTAGCAGCGCGTTCGTTCCTCACCTCAAACACCTGCGGTCCGCAGTTTTGCAAATATCTCAGCATCACTGTGGTTGAGTCGCACGCAATACCCTACCGTGGAAAATTGTAATAGGCAGTAAATAAAAAGGTTAACATTGTTTATGATATACTTTTTAGCTTGTCATACAAAATTAAGTTTTAATAAGTACAGTTACCTATGGTGGGCACTTTATAAGTATTTTGTACATGAATTTTTTTAAAGATTTTTTCAGTAAACGTATCACAAACAGAAAGGCTTCCAGAAGATTTCTTGCAGAAGGCATTTGTCTTAAAAACTCTTTGGTGGGTTATTTAAGAGGACGCTTTTAAGTTGCTCGAAGGCATTGGGAAAGCAAAAGCTACGCAGGACGAGATATTCGACAGTCACGCGTCCAATCTCGCCAAGCAGAGTAAAGCATGCGAACGGCTCTACAAGGACATCAAGGTGGGTGGTTTTGTGAAGTTCTTTGGCTCTGGTACTCTTGTAGTCATCCATATTTAAAACAAGTTATTGTTGAAATAGTGTGCGAAGAGAGTGTAGTGAAAACAACGTAGGTGTTGTTAAGGCGTATTCTTCTGCTCTGAAAGTTCTATGCCAAGCCGAGAGAGCACTGCATGACACCATCAGAGAGTCGTACGAAGCTGAATGGCCTAATCGAGAGCACCTGACGGCTATTCTTGATGTGGCTCTTCTGTAATTTTCGTGCCTTCAGTTTTATGAGATTACAATCTATTTGTCCGTATTCTAGAATACTGACATTCAAACGAACGAGTTGGAGAAAGCATTATGTGAAGATCTCCCACAAGCAGTCTCAACCTATGTATCTCAATTTAATGATTTGAAGAAAAAGGTATTTTGAATTTGGTATTCGTATAGGTTTCAACATATTGTTGCCGTATCATGCTTCCATTTGGCGTCGTATGAGAGGACGGTTCTTTCATTCTTGAAATTACACAGGTGGTAAACGATCCACACTCTTCTGTTTGGTTCTACACTCAGTTTTCTGATGAACTCGAAGTATTTTTAAGCATGTGCAACAGTAAATCTGGATTGTTGTCAGATCCAAAATTTTTCTAATGGACTGTAGAGAATTCCTCGCTGAGTGTGAAATAACGAACTAATACAATAACTATCTTAACCGTTTTATTTACTGCCTACTCTTTTTCAATTGCAGGATATATTGCGAAATATAACTTAAATGATACTGAGATATTTGCAAAACTCCGGACCGCACGTGTCTGCGGTGGTGATTGCTGATGGCAGAGATCGATAGAACTAGTTGAAAGACAGGCGAAGCGGACCCGCTTCGCGTAGTGGTGAACACGTTACTCCCTGGAAAGGACAATAGCGCATTCGTTCACCACCGCAGACACCTGCGGTCTGGACTTTTGCAAATATGTCATCATCGTTGAAGTTATAATACGATAAATGTTCTTTCGTGCTCCTTATTATCTGATTTGAGCCTATAACGAGTTTTATCACAAAACCAAGCATGTGATCATATTAAGCTCTTCATTAGCGTGTGGAATATGATAATGTAACAAATGCAAATAGATGTCGTAGAAAAGCATTATACCGACTCATCCGTAAAACGGAAAATTTCAGAGTGTTGTAGACTGCTCACTAAGACTGTAAATTCATTTTCTTCTTTATAGGTCGACAAAAGAGGCAGGAAGCTAGTAGACTATGACCACGCCAAGAACTCCTACAACTCCGTTAAGGCATCCAGCAAGAAAGTTTGTTCTGTCCGATGAAAGCACTGTGATAGGAAAATTGAATGTAAATGTGACTAATACTTTTCATACTGTTTCTTGTTTTCTAGGGCGAAGCAGATCCCAAGGTGGCGAAGGCTTTCACTGAGCTTAAGCAAGCAGAAGCAATGTACAAGGAGATTAACAACGAACTCCTTGAAGTATGAATGTATATTTGGAGATATGCGATATTGGTCTTCTCTAAATGTATCACATCTCTTTTAGACGGCATTTTCTTGTTTTAAGGTCCTTCCTGCAACCTACGATAGTCGTATAACTTTTTACGTGGACACTTTACAAGCACTATTCAACTCCCAAAGTTTGTATCAAACGGAATGCAGTGAAGTGAGCACAGTTTTTTCACTTTTTTTGCAAGAGTTATTGTAAGAGAGGATTTGGCGCACTTTTCCACCTAGCATAGCCATGGGGTTCCATATTGTTTACTAGTTTTTATCTACAATGGTAATTTTTTACCTACTTCTTTCTAACGACTTTTACAACTTTTAGAAGGAATCTTTAGCACTTTACTCTTTCAATTAGATAGGATATACTTTAGTTGCAGTTCAAGATTTTGCAATAGCGTATGAAATTTTTCAAATAGGAGACGTTAAAAGTTGAAAAGAAAATTTTATACTTGTATTTGAGTGAAAAAATGTTCTTTCTCTCTATTTGTACAATTAGTTGATGAATGGACTAGCGCATAATCACCACTTACTCCATCGTATGATAGGTGCGTAGTTACAATCACGGATTACATTTCCTATTCTATGTGTGACACTGTGGATACATCCATAATGATGCTGAGATGTTTGCAAAACTTGGGCCATATGCCAGATTAGAATCCATGATTGAATAATTCCCGGTCCCACATAATACCCTGCCGTTAAGAAATGATAGGGAGTAAATAAAGAGATGAGCACTATGGGAACAGTTGTTTAAAGTCATGAATGTATTTGAAAGTTGCAGGTAGTATTCCCTATTAATAAGTGCATCCTTTTTTCGAGTTTTCAAATGGTGCTCTTAATCTATGGTTAGCTCATCTAATGCGTAGCTTACTTGTGTTTTTATTTGTGGTAGGTCGCACCACAACTACAGGATGATACCTGGTCGTAGGAACCAAAAGACTACAATTTACATGTTTTGGAGTATATCATTTGGCTTCTGCAACTTATACTTAAATGCTTAGATACTTGAATGGCCTCTCTTCACTGGTTGTTCTGGCCTCAGCATAATGTCCACTTTTTAGGAGTTTTGCTCGTTTAGCCATTATGGTTTTCTGGAGGTCATCCTAGCCTTAGCCTTCCTTAAGTCATCTCACCAGGGAGAAATTTGCCACCATGCGACTAATTTGATGCCTGGACGGTGGTTATTCCTGGTATTGGTTTACTGTTAGCTATGCTTCCGGATCGAAACATCGGACTCTTCATTTTGGGAGGCTGTACCGGGCGGATGAACCACCTGCTGTGCATCGCAGCCCAATATCCAGGTACACCTTCCAGTCACAGAGAGGCACTAAGGCGTTAGGATATACATTTATGTATGTATGTATGTATTGTATGTATGTGTGTGTATATATGTACGTGTATTTATATGTTGTATGCATATACATGTATATATATATGTATATATGTATAGGTAATTCTGCTTCCTACATCGTCCTTGAGCGGTCTCGATCATTTTTCGTTCCTCCTTTGGTTTCTGATTTGGGTTTTAACATCATTAGTAGGAAAGACTGGCAAAGGATTCGTTGCGGAAAAGATACTTTCGTCAGAGCCACATCGTGTTGAATACCTAGATACATTTCAAGGTTAAGTCAGGATCAAATTGCTCAACCAGCAATAAGTCAGCCTCTGTACGCGCACACTGGATGCTCTTGTCTATGATGTCGGACGGTGAGACAGCCGGTGAGAGGCTACAAAATCTTGGGTTACGCAGGTTGTCACTGGAACTAGATCTGACAAACACACGCACGATACGCCATGGAGATTGTTTCTTACTCTGCACGTATATTCTCAGAACACTCCGCAGACGTCGATCTTCACGTCCTTCTTGAATCCGCATTTCGTATCAAATTTCATGTGGTCGAACTGCAAGAAAGAAAAATCAGGAGGACCGACGTACGCCAACCAAACGAAGCGATCGTTGTCATACTCTGTGAAAAGGTCCCGTCACAAAATGTCGGTGGCGTAGGATTTATCGTCCACCCGTGTATTGCCCAATCTCGTCGACTTGGACGAGATCCTCTCCGCTCACATGGACATTCTCCGTCTTCAACTAATGCATCATAAGAAGACAATCATCAATTGCTACTCACCGACCGAAGCAGCCGATGAATACGAATTAGATATGTTCTACTACGAGTCGGAGGAAGTTATCCGTAATGAAAGCATATTGTAAATTTGTTATCGGACACTCCAACGTCAGAATGGGAAGGGCCAACGACAGCGAATACAGAATCGGGAATTTTGGATTAGGAGAAAGAAATGAGAATGAAAACTGTTTCGCAGTATTCCTGTCTGCAGCACGTCTCTTCCATGAAAGCTCGTTTTTTGAAAAGAAAAAAATCCGCCGCAGTACATGGGAGTCTTCTAACAACACGATTCATGCGGGGGTTGACCATGTTCTGGCAAATAGGAGATGATACCGACTTGACACTTAGCAGTCTCATCATTCTGTACTGGGCCCGATCACCGCCTTCTTTATGCGAAAACTCGATTCAGCCGTAAGCTGGAAAGTCGACCAAGATTGAAGGACTGAAAGGTGTACCGCATTCGCCTCAGTTCCTCAAACAAGAAGATTGGATCACATCTGCACTACTGCTAAGGAGTTCTTTGAGAAGAAAAGGGAAATCAAGTTTCATCATACTGCAGCACGTTTAACACGGCTGGAAATAAATGTCATCTGTAGAAGTACACCGGTACTGGCAGAAGAAACCACTGGTAGCAACAGAAAAAAGAACTACCTTGAAGACATGTTGTCGGGGCTTGTGCGATTACAGTGTTCTGCTGTTAGCCTTGATTAACAAAGATCCGATCACCAGAACTTCTTCCAGTGGTACGGAATTGATAACGAGTGTTCTACACCAACCTTCTCTATTCCACAATCCCCGTTCCGGATCCTAAAATCCGCTGGAGAAAGACCTCTTGGAATTCTTCCACCGGAGGTTCGAGTTGTGATGGAAAGCGTGAAAAGAGGCTCAGCTCTAGGACCCAGTGGTATCATCGCCGGCTTCTTTAGAGCTGGAAGCCACAATTTACATGTACTTCTCACAAACCATATACATGCTACCTTCAAAAGTAAAAACTCCCTGACGTTGAGCACGGTCATTTTGTCGACGAAAATGGCAAAAGGGTGTCCCGCATATCAGGGACATTGGATGAAGCGCAACCAGTGCGGCAAGTAGTATTTCGACAAGGATTTTGTTGCGTGGACCGCTTCCAAAATGGGTCCAGAGTCATCGAACTTTGTCGGGAATTTCATTTGCTTCTAGTTCTGACCTTTTCGATTATGAAAAAGCGTTTTACATTGTGAAAATAATTGCAATCCTATCAGCGCTCGTCCACCATGGAGTGGACCCGTCCTACATAAGAACTCTCCCTGACTGTTATTGGAACTGCAGTACGAAAATACAGCTTTTCCATCGACCTCTTACCACACCCGTAGGAGAAGAGGTTCGACAGTGCGACTATATTGCCAAAGCTGTTCAGTGCTGCACTGCAGTGTATAATGAAGTAACTCGATTGGGATCAGAAAGGCAAACGTATTGATGGAATATTCCTGTCAAACCTTCGTTTTGCCGACGAGAATTCATATTCTCAAGAACCACTAGCGAAGCAGGAACGATGATCAACGAGCTCAACGAAACGGGGAAAAAGATCGGACTGCGCATAGATCGGAAGAAGACCCAGTCCATAATGAACCCATGATGCGAAGGCGAACAAGTAGAACTGGATGGTACTGTCTTTGCGTAGGCCATCTCGTACGTGCATCTTTGGCGTTCAGTGAACATGGCGAACAACATTAAAGAGGAATTAGACACAAGGAGAGCAGTTTGAGCCGCACCCGGGTTTTTCAAAGAAGCTATCCTAAAGGAGCCGCTCACTTTTTCGATTCAACTGTCCTCGCAGTCCTCTGTTATGGTACCCAGATGTGGACTAGTACTTCAACCACTTCTAGAATATTGAGCAGTATTCACGGAGCATTTGAACGATGTTAAAATATGACCGGTACGCTCATTACCTAGCTGGAATGTGAAGCTCTTATCTTCTAAATCTGTCACATTTTCGGGATCCAGGAGAATATAAATCGGTAGCGATACACAGGTGGGTGGGTCACATAATGAGAAGAACAGACGACAGGTGGATGAAAAGAACTGTAGAGTGTACTCCACGAGAATGCAAACGTCGCTTAGGACGGCCACCTACACGTTGGGCAGACGTGTTCGTAAACAAAGTTAATCAGTTGTACCCGCAGCTACAATTAATTTACAGATCACGGTATGAAACTCGCACGTGCCACCATAATCCAATAAAGCCACCACCATGGACGACGATTGCGAGGGAAAGAAACTAATGGTAAATGTGCTAGAGTCCGCACAACTCGTGAAGACGGACTATCCAAGTATCCAAGTACCGGCTATGATTTTGGTTCTATAGCTATGGAATACACTGTCGTTTGTGATTGATTGATTGCAATATTTCTGTTATCTTGTTAAATGGTTCTGTGACCGTAAGGCGATTGTGGAGAGGGAAGTTTGCGCAACATCTTGCCTACTGTTTTAGATAAACCATTTATTCATTAACGGGCTGGTCGGACTCTTTATTTCTTTGTTATATGAACGTAAAATTACATAGAGAGTGTATCTAAGGTATTCTAGTCGTACACTGGCCTACTATTACATCTCGACTATGACTTTTCTTTCCAGTTTGTGATTGAGTCGAACCTTCGTACAATTGTGAGCAGAGTGACTGCGAAATGACGATCGCGCGGGAAACTTAGGTGGGGACCCTCATCTGTTTTTCGAATACAGATCTCTGTCGTTTCATTAGGTGGCTCCCGTTTTCAGCGACAATGTTGTGTATGGCCAGAAAATAAATTTCCATGGAATGGATTCGGAAACTGATCCAATTCGACATTCCAAATTTTCATAGAAACCTCATAATGTTTTACTTTTTATATGCTGCCTACTACAATTTTTCGCGGCCGGGTACTATGCGAAATACATCTACAACGATGCTGAGATATTTGCAAAACTACGATTTCCACCGCAGACACCTGCGATCCGGAGTTTTGCAAATACATCTCATTAGCCTTTCTCAGTGCTGAATCCTATCTCACTAGATTTCTCACTTCTGCTTCTTTCAGTGTAGTCACCTCCTAAACCGTTTTATAGAACGTTTTTCGAGGTTACTTTGTCAAAAGTTTTTAAATGCATATATTTGGTATGATACTATCATAACCTAATGGTTTATCAGTACAATCAGTTAGTTGGTAAATGATTGCAATTTTTCTTGATGCAGGGAGTCAAACGTTGTGACATGAGCTTATTTTAGCTGACCTGGAGAGCTGGTGCAAGAAAAGGCTTGTATTTCGTGACTCTTTGCTTTCGAAATTTTCTAGGCAAGCATGAATTTGTAGCTTAACGACTTTAATTGGTGCATTGTGAAAGTATCGACGTTATAGGAACTAAAAATACTGATCACGCTCTAGAGCGTGGTGGAATGATTCGTGTTTTTAGTAGTTATATTGAAGGTGAAGCTGTTTTTTTTTTTTGGAGAGTTGAAAACAGCCGAGTTAGGTCGTAGTTTATAACCACTCATCGCACTTGTTAGTCAGACGAAGACTAGCACTTTGTGGCTACGCCTTTTTTAATTTTCTTTTTCTCTGATGTCCTGACATAGGGTTCTTGTCAAGACTTACATCAAACAGTGCCGAAGTGTTTCACGGTTGGATTTACATAGATCTCTAGTGAGTGTTGCAATTCGAGTTCAGTACCCAGGAGCACTTTCAACAGTGAATCAGTTAATACTTGAGATATTTTTTGGTTTCGCGTTGGATACTTTTGGTTAAAAATATTTGTGCGCTCAAAACCGCTTTATTCCATAAATTGGTCATGTGGTTAATATTTCGAAATATGTTTCGTTGAATTTGTGCCTTATATTAATAATTTTAGCTTAATAGACAAATCGTTACTCAATTGGATCATCTCGGTGAATCAATGGATCTCTTGAGAGTACCAAGACCGGAGCGTCCCAGTACTCCAACGGAAAGTGTAGCAGATGTATGTTATGTTGCTTGAAATATTAAATCTTTAACAGTTATATTTGTATCCGATAATGCTATAAAAGTAGTTTAAAGTTTTCTCGGTTATCGGTTGCCAAAATCGTAATTTTAATTAAGATGGGGTCTCGAAAGTCTACGCCGTCTCCAGCACCTGCACCTCCTCCAGCAACTCCAGCCTCCTTGGTTGACTCAGTTCCCGGACAGACTACGGCCAGTAATCCCTTTGACGAGGAGGATGTGGAGGAGGCGTTTGAGAATAAAATGTATCCCGTAGGTTTTTATGGAAGTTTTAAAGGTTAAATACAGCGTGTTTTCCATTACTTTATGCGGGTAATAATGGGAAATTTAGTGTATGAAAAGACTGAAGGATGACAACATTTACCTATTTTTTTGCTACATTTCCATATTATTCATTACTTTGTGCTCATATTGCTGTTGATTTCTCCAGTTATACATCTTCCATGTGGATCTTTAGCTATTCCATTGTTTTGCGATTTTTTTGCATCATTGTCAACCTATTCCTACATTGTCGGAATTCGGAAAAACCAGGGTATTCATTTTTTCAGACACGAAAGTCGATTCCAAGTTTTAATACAAATATAGTTTAATTGAAAAAGTGGTTTATTGAAAGTCGTTCTATCTTCAATATCTTGCTTATGTTCTATTAAGAATCTTTTTCTTTTTAACTTTTCGTTGCGTTTATGGGTACAGTCGACGTCGCTAAAACGTATAGATTCCTAAGGTTTTGTATGTTCACGTCGTCATTCCAAAATTTTTATTTTTTCTTTCTGAATTGACAAACTATTAACTGTATGTTATTGGAAAACTTAATCATTTGTTTCATTTCTAACTTTTCTTCTTCCCTGCATAGAATGTAATTTTGCGTCATATATGAAGAAACTGGCTGCCACGCGTCGCGGAGACAGTGAGGAAATAAAAGTGGCCAGAGAAGCGCCCGTAAGTGGTAGGCAACTGCAACAAGATGCGCCAAACCCTTTTGATGAGGATACGGATGATGAAGAACAGCATCTATCAATTCCTACGGAGGTTCCTCCAACCGATCATGCACTGGAAGGAGTAACGAAGGAAGCGCGTAAAGTGAGTAACTCCATCTATTTATAAATGTATCTAAATCTATATGTATATATATATGCCTATCTATATATGAAACAAAGAAAAGTCGGTGTTGATTAGTCGCTTAGGAATGCACCATACACTGTGCTTCATAAAGCACTTTGGTGATGTACTCTGTACAATAATGACTTCTAGTGGCCTGCGGATGTGCCAACTCTGCTTTTAGTTTTTATCTTCTCAAACAGTTCTGGTGTCAGTTCACCGATCATGGAGGGATGGAAAGCTTGTTAAACGAGGGGCCGAGGATCGAACGAGCAGTCTGGTGTGAACTGCAAGACATCTCTAACCATTGTTATACGATCCCCATCGGTCTGCATCATATGTATGTATCGTATATGTATCGTATTTGTAACCACTAAATATAGGGAACATTTTATTTGTCGTAGTGAACATATTACTGTCCATAGTTTTCTTCTAAATTAAGCCATTACATCTAGTGGTAATTTGTTCTTAAGAGACTTCTTGGAGTAAGTTGCACGGCATTTTCAGCAACGAATCCACTGACAGTAGACAGGTTATCTCCAGGTTTTGGGGTCTGTGTTGGTGTAAGAACATAACGTGCGTTGCGAATGTTACCAACTTCATCAAAGTCGTGTAGAGTTTTCATGTGAAAAAGTTGATCTAGCTATTGATCGCTGTCACTTCGATACTTCTCACAATGTTGTTTTGGACCAAATTCGCGAATTTGTAAGTTTAGAAAACTGAAATTTAGAGCGCTTAGCAACTAGGTCAAGGCGAAACAGTTCGGTTCACCCCGTGTGTTTTTACAGTATTGATCGGATTTGGGTCTTATTCTTTAGGAAGTAGTTACGAAAGGATTTCCTTCTGAGTTAAAATCAGTTGAAGGATACAGTACATCAGTCAATGGGTACACTTCTAGCTACTCAAGTCCTCTGTGGAGCTAGACTATCCTCGAGTAAGGTTCTATGTTCAATGAGAAATGACTACCTTCCTTCGTTTGCTTTTTGAATGACTGAACTTAGGGACTATAAATGTCACCGTGGTAAAGACAATAGATCGGCTATATGAATTTCTGGATGACAGCGAACCTGTTGTTATCAATCAGACAGTGTGATTCCGTAACAATATGGAGTCAAACACAAGCCTTAACTTTATTCCATAGAGCATGTTTGCGAGAGGTTCTAAAGGGGAAATTTTTGAACTCTTTTTGGTGGATTCGATCCATTCTATCTCACACCACATCTCTCTTGGGTTCACAAAAAACACTATGATAACTACTGCTATTCGGTAAGTTGGATTGCACGCTTGAGAAGATAAGTAGCATATCTTCCGCTTCACAATACTATGTTGACTTCATTCTGTATTCTCAATTAGAAGTAAAGAATTTTCACTTTGAAGGCTCTGAAATTTCGAAGCATGTAGCTTCATTTGCCAACCTTCTTTCCTTTCAGGTACTGTATCTTGTTAAAAGCACGCATGAATATAAGGCATTGGATACGGATGAGTTAACGTTTGGTCCAGGAGAGGAGCTAAAGGTAATTGATCTTCCATTCACTTCTCATCCATTTAATTAATTCATTTGGGTATAAAAATGCATATACAAGTGTTTCCTTTGTCGTATGTTTTTCTATGAGTTACAAACGATAAACACTCAGGTGCTGGAAACGAAGCCAGAAGACCAGGTCGATGAGGGCTGGCAATTAGGTGAGAAGTCAGACGGTACTCGTGGTGTTTTTCCAGAGAATTTCACGAAGAAAATTGAAAAATGCGCTTAGAATTATCATGCTAGCTCGTCTCCAATATTTTTTGTCGTCATCACTACGATTTTGTTGATACTCTTCGAGGATTGAGAGTAAATAACTTGTTGTTGCTTTTGTGTGATATTCCTAGGAAACAGCTGTTATTTTTTTTATATGTTTAAAAGAGTATACGAATTACTTAATAGCGCAGTAGACGCAGTGCCTTGACAGAGTCGCTCGGTTTTTTCAAATCTCTAGTGGTACGTATAATATGAGTAAATTTATTGTTACCTGCAAATATCTAGTGTATACCAATTTATACCCAGTTTATTGTCCCACCATGGTTGTGATGCTTGCTTATTGCTTCATTATCATGTTGTAGTACTGCTTTGATAAAAGTAATTTTCAAACCAGTGAAATCCACATAACTGAAGGACATTTCGATGTCGTATGATGCTGGTTTCGCCAATCTTCTCCTGTGTTGTTCATCGTCTCGCTGAAACTCATTGTTCAGTAGTTAAGGTTTTCCCCATATTAGTTCTTTTCTCATTACTTCCACCAATTTTTCGTCCTTTTTCTTTCGTTTTGTTCTCTAAAGGTAAGTGTTGTAAAAATGTGACCGGGTAGAAGTTGCTTACGAGTGTCCTAGTCCAAACAACGGAGTATACTCTTGGAAGGGTTTTCAGTGGAAAGTTCTGGGCAGATTTCTTTGACTCGCTTTGGTCAAATAGTTTCCATCGAATACTTAAATTTTCATCAAGAGAAAAGTGAATAAGCTGCAAGCATATGGTGAATTGTGGATGAAATCTATATTCTTGTTGAGCAATTCTCAACCTATATGAAGGTGAAATGTTATAGAATTTGTTAGTAGTGTGATACTGGGTGTTCACTGACGTTTGCTGTTTTTCATACGATTTTGTCAAGAACAAGGATGAGTGAATGTTTTAGCCTATCTGTAGCCATACTTTTTTGGACACCCATGGAACTTATCAATTTTCGATGAGTAGTCTGTGTCCGTAATAGTTCTTAGGGACATGTACTTACAAATCTAGATAGCGTTATTTGTGTGGTACTTTAATAAACTTTGGAAAGGGGTGGGAAAAAAATTAAGGCGTAACTATCTTGGTTAGCTTTACAGCCAATGACGCTATGAACACTAATAGAAGAATAATTTTTTCTACTTCTGTTCTGCAAACACGGGGTTACTTTATTTCTTTATTTACGTACAAGCTGACGTTTCGGCGGATTTCGCCTTCCGCAGAGCCTGGAAAGGTCAAGTTGACTACAATCTACACGGCCAACATTGACCACAGAGTCTTTGCATACTTATCGCTTTCTATGAGTCTTCCACTAAATATGTCACGTGGAGACCAACTGCACAGAGGTCACACGGAATCGTATTGTTCCCATCTCATCAAAATAACAGGCTTATATACTGCCCAATATTACGAGTGATAATGAGGCATTCCTTCCTGCGGTTCATTTTCGGATTTCTAGAATTAATCCAGAGTGCCTCGTGAGTTTTTCGCGCCTGTGTTCTTGATTCGTGTGCGAGGATCGTGACACATACTTCAAAGTCGTCCCCGTTATGTCTCTGGGTCCTGTGCGTGCCTAGTGCCTATAACCGTTAGGTATCTCTCATCTCAAAATTGACTTACCAACATGTCCCGTCCTATAGTAACTTTATCAAAACCCATAAGTTAGTATTCAACGATGATCTCGTGTCTACCAGTCCATCGTTATTTAAGGTTAGACCTATCATTAGCTGCGTGGACGGGCCAACGGGCAGGATAACGTGGTTTTTAACCCTAATATTTACCCAGTTGTTGAAATACATTCCAGCCCATCTTACGAATACCCATATGTTTCTGGATCGTCTGCGCACTGCGGAGCCCAGCAGCGCGTACGCGATGGAGTCCTTCAACGTTACCGCCCTTTATACAAACGTGTTGAATGACTCCGCAATGTAATCCATATTCGAACTCCTTATACAATATGAAGGAGAAATAAACATATATGGCTTCAAGGTAGAGCAGTTGATGGCACTTTTAAAAGAATGCTTGAGGTACTCAATCTTTAGATTGTGCGGAAAGTACTACGCTCAAATAAGAGGGTTGGCAACGAGACAACGACTGGCACCAAGTCTTGCCATTGCGTTTATGTCTATGGTGGAAGCACCGGTGATTGATCTCGGGCCGCTACTCTACTGTAGATATCTAGCTGACTGTTTTGTCGTTTGCTCAACACAAGAGGAAATGGACAAATGTCCCGAGTTGTTGAATGACAACCAGAGTATATTAAATTCACCAGAGAGAAACCAAAAGAAAACTGCCTTCCATTTCTGAACGTGCAAATTAACCTATCAGAAAACGGCTACATTATGAAATGGTATCGAAGGCCAAGTAGTAAAAACATCTTGGTTCATTACCTCTCCTCTCATCCCTCCCACCCGAAAAGGACGCTGGTGAGAAACATGTTTCGAACAGCTACCAGCGTGTGCACAGGAAGGCAGCAGAGAGAGGAGTCCCGGAACTTGGCGCGGCAAATAACCATTTTTAGTGGCCACGAAACTGTAGCTCGAGATAGGTGTAGAGGAAACCACAGGCCCCCAAACGATAACTCTAGCAGCAATAAGGTCTCGTTTATCCTGCCCTCCATTTCAAATGAAGTAAGTGCAGCTATGAAACGCTGTTTAAGAAGGGCCGGTTTAGAGAATTCGGTAACGATATTTGAAATACCACCGAGTAATCTAAGACACCAGCTAGTTCGTAACCGCCTATACGACCGTGCAACGCAAAATTGCATAATTTGTCCCAATAGTAGAGACGTGACTGCATGAGTTCGGGTACAGTCTATGTGACGTCTTGTAAAGCGTGCGGGGACGAATACATTGGCGAAACGGGTAGACCACTCTGCGTACGTATAGAAGGACATCTAGTCGGCAGACGTAAACGAAATACTCCACTAGGCACGCATAGGACGCAGAGACATAACGGAGAAGATTTTGAAGTAGGGATTACGATCCTCGTGCAGGAATTGAGAACACAAGCGCTCAAAACTCTCGGGGCATTCTGGATTAATTCCAAGAATGCGAAAATGAACCGCAGGGAGGATTACCTCATTATCACGCGTGATATTAGGCAGTATATAAGCCTGTTATTTTGATGAGATGGGCACAATACGATTCCGTGTGAACTCTGTGCAGTTGGTCTTCACGTGACATATTTAGTGGAAGACTCATAGAAAGCGGTGAGTGTGCAAAGACTGTGTTCAACGTGATTGAAATTTTGGTTTAACATTTTCTCTGTTTGGTTATGGAGGTGTTTGTCCGTGTAGATTGTAGTCCACTTGACCTTTCCAGGCTCTGAGGAAAGCGAAATCCACTGAAACGTCAGCTTGTACGTAAATAAAGAAATAAAGTAATACCTCGTGTTTGCTGAACAGAATTAGAAAGAATTATTCAATCAATGCCGAGGTTAGTAGAAAGTCGGAATTGGGAGTTACTAATAGAAGATTTATGATACCAATTGAGGGGTGTAGAAAACTGGAGAAGATTTATGGCTGCCTAGCAGCAGCTGTTGACGATGACCTGCAGGCGATAATCGAAGTTGAGGTACCAAAAATTATTCGAAGTGTTCGATATATCTATACATATGTTCTTCCGAACTGTCCTTGTTTAGCTGAGGCAAGGTTGGTGTAGATGTTCTTACTATTGTTGTCCTCTCTACGGTTTACCTCCTCGTCGTGGCTGGGAATTGATCCTGGGTGTTGGGCTGCGATGTACAGCGGAAAGGGATTCATTCCCTTAGGGGCCTCCCAGGCTGAGGAGGAGGTCGGTGTTTCCACTGGGGAGCTTGGCTTGGAGTAAACCAGCGCGAGGGTACACCACCGTCCTGGTATCAAACTAGTCGCATGGTGGCAAATCTCCCTCCTATCCACGAGGGCGTGGTCTGCTTGTGGTGTTCCTGAGGCAGACTTTAGCCGGGCTTACCTTTGGTCTCCAGGTAATCACAATTGCTAAACCAGCAAAACTCCAGAACAGAATGGAAACTATGCTGGACCCCGCACAAGTATTGAAGATGGGCGATCCAAGTGTCCAAGTAAGTTGTTGCTGTTATCGTTGCTCGATAGCAGATATTTCGGTTATTTCGTCTTTCTCAGAGTCCGGACGCACCATATGTAACAGTAGACCTACAGTTTAGTGAAATCCATAGTATTAATGAAGATCCAACATATGAATAGACGCCAATTTTTCAAGAACTATCCACCGTGATGTTTAACCCTATTCGAAATGTTGCAGAAAAACTCACCGTAGGTCATTGAACAATCCGTACCAATTTGAAGTACATAACATAAATTGATCGACAAACAAAAAAAGAATTGGATCGATGATAAGTGTGTCTTATGCTTCCTTCGTGCATCAGGAATGTTTTCTTTCTTGAGTGAGTTATGAATCTCGGCGAAAAGTGGATCGTCTGCGGCAGTGATTGTGGTTTTACAATCGAACGCCTCACGAAATTTAACTTCCGTTAGCACATGACACTTGACGTGCATTGATTTCGAAGCATCTGGAGCAAAAATCTTAACCGTATTCAAAATTACCCCAATACAGTCATAACTCATAGTGAACTTTATAAAATACGATAAAAAACTTTAGAATCTACGAGATTTTTGTATTCAAAATACAAGTTCTGTTATTCCAGCAAGGTGTTCCGGAGCCAACGGAATGTTTCCAGTCCATTTCTTTCTCGCAAGGCAACTATTTAGAATAAGAAAGTCATTGAAAAAGTGGGATTTTGACCAGAGGTACAAGATGGCATGGCGCTCGACTGCACCGTTTGTACTGCGAATTTTAAAAACTCAAATTTCATCACTAGTTTCTTAGAAATTTTAATCCTAACCAAGTTTAATTTCGAAGGAATATGTTGCGAAGATTGCATCGTGGACTCTTCAGCTTTTCGAATACTCCAATGATCGAAGAAATGCGGTCAGTTGTTGAAAAACGAGAGTTAGACTATGTGTTAACAGAGATATTG